TGTAAATATTTTGAATTACAGATAGAAACGTCTTTATTCCGGCTTCTTGTGGACCCTCCTCACGTTTAGTGAATTCACTTCCTGTTTACATCTAATTAAGATCCACTTGGTTCACATAATAATATAATTAATGCAGGAGCATCCGTGAAAGGAGCTGCTGTGGAGAGTGAAGGATCAATGCTAGATTATATTTTCTCTGCCTTCAAACTTCAAACTGACCTTGATGCTGTTTCTAATCCAAGTAAACACATTAAAAAAACAACAAAAAAACAAGACCCCACTGTGTGAGTCTGTACACCGATCAGCTCTCATGTACTATAATAATAATATTTAATAATAAGAACCTTTATTTGTATAAAACCTGTCATACAGGGAACGCACCTCAGAGCCCTTCACAGCAGAGACGTCATAATCAGAGAGCTACACAAGCGTTAAATATAAAGCCCACTTCATAGAAATAATAATATAAATAAAAATATTAAATTAGATCACATATGATGCACATGAGAAGAGCACTCAAAAAAGCCCTCAGAGAGTCACTTACTGGCTTTAAGCTGTTAGCCAACGCTATGCTAGGTTGGCATAACTACAGCGATGCTACTGCTAACATAAACAGACAGAGAGTAGCTTAAGCTAGGTTAGCACAACTTTAACAATGCAACGTAAATGAAACGCATGACCGAACAAAGCATGCGTCAGTCGTCCTGACTCATGGCAAAGAGAGTTAAAGTGAACCAGGACACATGCTGAGTCATTGTTAATGTGAACCAGGAGACATGCTGAGTCATTGTTAATGTCACAACGTGGTTCTGAACTGATCTGTCAGTAGTTCTGCTCAGCCCATTCCTGTGATGCTGCCTGGCTGAAGCTTCCTCCTGAACTGCTGAGAAGACAGCGGTGAGGACTGAAGGACTGAATGGAGTCAGAGCTCCACGACCTAGAGCAGTACACAACAGCTGTCCTGGGATACATCAGATTCTGCACAGACCTTGTCACCGTGGACAAGCACATCCGGGTTCATCCCAACACCAAGCCAAGGATGACCAAAGAGGTACGGAACCTGCTTTGAGAGAGGAACAGCGTCTTCAGGTCTGGTAATGGGGCGTTGTATAGCACTGCCAGAGCCAACCTGAAGAAAGGCATCAGAGGTCAAGGCTGCGTAGAGAAGGAGGATCGAGGACTGCTTCTGGAGCAACGATTCCAGGCAGGTGTGGCAAGGCATCCAACACATCACCAACTATAGACCCAGCAGCCTGTCAACGGACCACGGGAGTGCCTCACTAACGGAGGAGCTCAACAACTTCTTCTTTGAGGTGCAGCCACCAGAGACGGATGTCCTACACCCACCAGCCCACAGCAGACGTGACACTGGAGGAGCAGCAGGTGAGGCAGGTGCTGAAGGCGGTGAACCCAAGGAAGGCCTCGAGTCCTGACGGCATCTCAGAACAGGTGTTGAGACTATGCAGATCAGCTGGCTGGGGTCTTCACCACCATCTTCGACCAGTCCCTAAGTCAGGTCGCTGTCTCTTCCTGCCTGAAATCCTCCACCATTGTCCCCCTCCCTGAGAGGTCCATGTTTTGGTTCATAGTTTGTACCATCAGTGGTTGATCAGGAAAAGACCAAAGTGCAGACACACAGTAGGTCAGTTATAAAAATAAAACTATGATCCAATCTTACTGCTTGGCAGCAAAAGAGGGCTGGAATATCCAGGTGAACAGGGTCCAACAAGAGAAAACCAAACATCAAGTCAAAAAGTCCAACTAATAAAAAAAAAAGAGGCTTAAACATGGTCACCAGATGAGACCCAGAATCCACGAGGCAGCAGGTAAACAGGGTCTACTAGCCAGAGCTGAGGAACACGAGGAGAAACATCCAGGTGAACAGGCAGGTAATCCAGCAAAGTAGGGTTGCAAACAGGACTGAACAGGAACAACTGGCAAAGACTACACTGCAAAAAAGGATTTTAAAGAAAGTAAAAAAAGTCTTGTTTCTGGGAAATTGTTCTTATTTTTTGTCTAAAAAGTAAAACAATCTTTACAAGCAAGTTTTTGCTTCAGAAAATTTGTCTAATTTTAAGAAAATATATCAAACTTTTTCTTAATAAGATTTTACAGCTAAAATTGAGCCAGAATTACTGGTAACAAGCAGCAATGTGGTGGTTCACATGGTTCACATGAAATCCCAGCAGAGGAACAAGATTGTTTTTCTTATTTGAAGAGAAAGACAAATTGCTAAAGTTCTCAATTTAAGAAACTGCACCAATCATAGTTTGAATTCATCTGTTTGCTGCTGGAATTGTTTTGACACTGGAACCAGAATGTTGCTGGATTCTTGTTATGCTGTTAGAACAGGATTAGGGCTTGTGCACTTTTTGACATTTGCAATATTGTATGTTGTTAAAATATGGATTATATTCTGGTACACTCACTTTAGACAGTAAAAATGAATGTATGTGTGAATGGGTGAATGAGAAACACATTGCAAAGCACTTTGTATAAAAACGCTGTATGAGTGCAGACAATTCACCATAATAGTCAGAAGATGATCTGGTTAAAGACGTTCTTTCAGCCGATTTAAATCTGAAACTGAGCCACCTTCATGACATTGAAAACTGGCTTTAAGATCAGCATACCTCGCTAACCCACTGATCTCACTTTGCAGTGCAGAACTCTGGATGTAGACCAACACAGGAAACACAAACAGGAAATAACAAGACATGAAAAAGGAAAACAGACAGAAATGAGTCAAACAAAATAAAACTATAAAACCAAAACCAATAACATGACACAGCCAGCAGCTCATTTATCACATCTGCTTTTGGAAACTCTGGTCTCTGTGAATGTAGACGCTTGTTTTCATGGACTGTTGTACGACGTGAACATTTGTGTGAATGTGTGTCATGATGTTGGTGCGTGTGGTCGACGACCAAGCGTTCTGTCTAGAAGTCTACTGATGATCCACAACAGTGGAAGCTCCAGTTATGAGCCCTGAAAACCAAGAACTATCTGCAGTTCTGACCTCAGACTTAAACAGGGGTTCATTTAAAAGATGTTTAGACAATAAATAAATAAATCTCTATGTTCTGTCTTTCCATTGATAAACAGTACTACTGATGAAACACAATAAATCACAAATGATTCTGTTGTCCTGATCCATGGGTGTTGATGAAACTGTGCAGAAGGTCTGTCAGCTCTTTGTATCGACGGTTGTTAAACCATACAAATATATTTGTACCCACAAACTAGATTTTTCAGTGAACTGTTGTTCTGGCAACTTAATCACCTGCAAACCTTCTGTCTCTTGCTGCTGCAGCTCGATGACTGTTCTGTCTGTTGATGGAGGAAACCGCATGTTTCTTCCTGTTCTGTTTAAAGCAGAACACAGGGCTGATAAGAAAAACAGCTATACTGTCGCTATCCGGCCAGTTCAGCCTCCTGGTCGACCACATCTCCACCTACAGAGCAGCAGACATGAGTCACATCACGTCTTTCAGTTCTATAGAAAAACCACAGAGCAGAACTCTCACACAAACTGTTTTAACCTTACAGAATAGAATAGAATAGAAATGTACACGCCACAGCAGCATCCAAAAAGCACAAGAAAATAACAATAATTCAGTAATACGCATCCTGGTGTCGGCACACAGCAGGTCCAAGTCAGTCCACATGCTGGCTGAATGTGGGGAGAGCGGCAGAGAGCCATGTCTGGTTAAAGTCTCCTGAGATGACCATCAGAGACTGAGGCTGTGATGTTTGCAGCTGGGACACTGAACTCTGGAGGAGTTCACAGGCTGTTACTGGCCAGTCTTCCCCCTCTCATGGGCTCGGTGTCTCTGTGGTGACGTATGGTTGTTTGACTGACCACTGCTCATTCGGTGATGGTTGTTGAGCTTTGCATTGTGTGTTTGACAAACTGCAGACATGTAGAAGCCGGTTGGATCTGAAACATGTGAAGAACCAACTCTTCCTACGTGGTTCCTGCATTATTGTGGGCAGAACCTGCTGCGTCACAGACGTTAAGGAAAATATTGGCACTAAGCTGCTCACGGACACACGATGGAAACTGAAGAGGCGAATGAACGCTCTATTCAACAGGGAGCTGTCTGAAGACACAGTGCTTCCCTCTGATCTTCTGTTGGTTAGTTCAATGCAGCAGCTCAGTGAATGCAGCTGCTGTGTTTGAAGCCTTGTGATGGTTGGAAACTCCCTTCTCTGCCTCATCAAAGCTCTTAAAACTCCCAGAAGTTTCCTCTAAGTGTTTCTGCGGAGTTTATACGATGGAGGAGATTAGAAAGTACAGTAATGAATAATAAATGAATTCCCAGAAGCTTCCAGTGGACGGCATGATACGAGCAGCTCCTGGAAGTCTGGGCGAGTAGAGCAGAGTGGAGTGTTAGTGTCTCTGAGAAAAACCTGAAGAAGAAATCCTCCTCTGAAGGGTGCAGTTACAGTCCGACAGTAGATTCAACTAATATCTAAACTTCACGCTGAAATCATCCATCAGCTGAAAGCACTACGGCAAAACAAGAAAACTGCACTGGCAGCTCTACTTGAAGGTGGAGAGCTTTAAAGTTTGGAGTTCAGAGCACCATCTGGGGGATTCTGTCTCTATAATTAAAGACCTAAGCTGCAGTTAGTCACATGAAGACATGTGAAAAGACAAACGCTCCTCTGCTGTGACTGGAGTTGAACTCAACAGCTTCCTATTTGGGCTAGAAAAGGTTTATCAGATATGGAAGAAGACGACATGTTTCCTTGTCTGACTGGTGATTAAGACAAGTTTTAAAAATATCAAGTAGAATCACTGTCTGAGAAGTCTGACTCAGTTTAAACCTAAAAACAGAGATCTTTGTGGATTAGGGGGATTTCAGCTTCTCTTTNTGGTCTTTGTACCACCACAGTGTGATCTCTGCAGCGTCGTCCACAGCACACAGCAGGGAGCAGCTGTCAGAGCTCACACTCAGTCTGTGGACAGCAGGGGGCGCTACAGAGCCTGCAGAGGACAAGATGGACACTGAAGGTTAGACAAGAACTAAAACTTCACCTTCTGTTTAGAAACAGGGCTCCGGGGCACATTTTTGGATCATAACCTTATCACTCAAGCGTATAGGGTGAATACAAAGAATGTGCTTTGTTTTTTTTTTTTTTTTTGTTTTTTGTATTTTTTTTTTTTTCCCCATACAGGTACAGGCACTTTGTAAATATGTTATGGGTCCAAATAGAGTGGGTAATGTAAGTAGAGTGTAATGTGTATTGCTGTCTGTTCAAGCTAAAAGTTGTAAAAAAGAAATAAAAACTTGAATTCCAAAGAAACAGGGCTCCGAAAAATAATGTTATAATCCTTTGTTCAGGTACAACAGGTAGTTAGACAAAGCAGACAATGAGGTGATAAATGTCTGGTTCAGGCTTCAGAAAGAGGAACAAAGAGGCGTTAACGGAAAAGAAAAGAGCAGCTGTGGTGCAGGTAATGATGGATGAACAGGTGGGAGGTGATCCAGGTGGTAAAATACTGAGATACTGCAGCGTCAGATGGAGGCTGAAAGACAAGCATTGACTTGAAAACACCTGGAAGCAGATGAATAAATGAAATCCAGACAGAAGGTGACGTGACATCGTTTTACTGGAAAAGAGCTTTTAGAACCACATCAGGAAACTGAACACGCCATTAAAAAACCACTTTAAACCACCGGCATCCTGTCTTTATATCTACATTAATCCATCTTTATATTGTTATTTATGTAACATACTTATGATACCAGCGTCTTGTTCTATCCATATACTAACCATGTTCCTCCTGTATGTGTATACGTATCTTCAGCACATTCATCCTGCCCTCAAGCTTTAACTACCCATCTCATAGTGCACTGCTTCTGCTGCTTCTTTTGCTCTTCTGAGATGTTGAATTGTATTTTCTTGTCTTCTAATCTAATCTAATCTAATCTAATCTAATCTAATCTAATCTAATCTAATCTAATCTAATCTAATCCAGTTGAGGAACACTTTCCTGCTCTCGGTTCAGTTTCCGACTGATGTAAACACTGGATAAGTGTGTGAGGAGACATTTAAAGCCATTTCCTTCCTGTTTTCTTAAACTGACCTCTCATGTGTCACTGTGACTCCTGAGTTCTAAAATAAAAAAGCCTCTGACATGAATTTTCTTCAGTTTTCCAACAGATCATGAAGATTTTCTCATATTTTATCTGACTGGAGTTCAGCATCACACTCGTGGTTTCTTCATCACGAGGCAACTCGTTACTCAACATCAGCTGATGACATGATTTGGTCATTTCACATTTTATTCCCATGAACTGAACCACAAGGAGACACGACAAATCAGAGTCACAGTTTTATCCACATTTTTCACATGAAGTCCTGCAGCTCTATGAAACAGAACAACATGAAGGAGAGAGAACTCAGACACGTCCTCAGTCAGTAGAACTGTTAGAATGATGGAAACCAGGAAAAGACAGTTTGGTCTTCACATCCTGCAGATGTTGAACNTTGTTCAGAGTGACTCTAAACTTGTTGTCATTGTGGACAAATCATTAACTTACAAAACATTATTTTTCGGAGCCCTGTTTCTAAACAGAAGGTGAAGTTTTAGTTCTTGTCTAACCTTCAGTGTCCATCTTGTCCTCTGCAGGCTCTGTAGCGCCCCCTGCTGTCCACACCCTGAGTGTGAGCTCTGCCAGCTGCTCCCTGCTGTGTGCTGTGGACGACGCTGCAGAGATCACACTGTGGTGGTACAAAGACCAGGAGGTGGTGAACCAGAGCAGCTCTGCTGGATCTCTGCCTCTCACTGTGACCAAGCAGGACCTCAACTCCTCTTACAGATGTGTGGCTGGAAACCCTGCAGAGGAAAAGACTCTCCTGGTGGATCTTCAGGGGGTCTGTGGACCAAACTTCACCACAAACACAGAAAACACAGAACAAAGACGTAAGATCGATTCTAACACTAATCTTTGTCATTGGATCGTATGTTTTGTGTTTTGCTTGACGATCAGGGTTCTGTTTGACAGGTTGGATCATAACTGGACTCCGCATCTTTGCTGTTGTCAGTTTGTTTACACTTGCTGCCGTTTTCATCAAGTGTGTCAACAAGAAGACAACCACAGAAAGACAAGGCAGGTGTTGGTTTGGTGTTCATTTACTCCTACTGCTGGGTTACACACTTTTATCTGTGTTTAAAACAATGATGTGTAGATTTAAGAACACTGCTCCAGGACTGGACCTTCACTGGAGACAGAAGTCTAGGACTTGTGGATCATTTGCAGTTTCTTGTGTTCAGACTCTTTTTCCTCTGAGCTTTTGTTCATGATGTGTTGCCTGCTTTGGAGAGTAAATCTGCTGCTGATGAGTGTTTTCCGTGAACATGTTTTATCTGATTGTGGTGTTTCTGTAAAACATGCTTAGATGTGGACCAAATGCAAAGCCAGGTGGAGAACGATGTTCTAGAGGAGTGAGCAGAGACACAGATTTATTTGCAAATGAACAACAATTTATTACAGTTTAACAAAACTGACAATAACTGTTAAAACAGGACAATGCCAAGATTCAGTAACCCCCAAAATCAAACAGAGTCCTGTTGGACAGGGAAACCAAGAGTCAACACAACACAGAAAGCGTCCTTAATGCCTCTCTGAGAGATTCCTCTGGTTGGTCTTCCTTCCTTGTGTCACTCTGTTGTTGGTGTGTTTTCTGTCTACCCGGGCAGGATGAATGTGTGCAGTGGAGATCGTTCCTCATCTGGAGATCCTGTGACATCAACAGAGTCTTTCCAGTGAAGACGGAGACAGCTGGCCACGCTGCTTCAAACGTCCAGCTCAAGAAGTTCTCACTGGGTCTGGCTCGCCATCGCGTTCAGCAGAACTTAATCCAAGCATCTGATCCACTCAACAAAACAAAGAAGATGGAAAATGCTGGATGCATCTCCAACAGCTGGCTCCTCTGTTCTCTGGTTCTGAGCTGCATGTATTTATGGATCCGGCATGTTTTATTTTCCCCTCAGAATCTATCTCATCTAATCTTGTTGGTCGCTTTTTAAATAAGACATGCAAAAAAAAAAAAGTCTTAGCAACACAACCGTCATGATGACTAAATATCACCTTAATGTAAAGAACCGAGCTGCTCTAAACAAGGAAAGATATAAAGACTGAATTACAGCAAGTCAACCGAACAACAACTTGTCAGACAATCTACTTTCTACATGTGTTTTATAATAAAGTGAAAAAGGCTGTTTTAAATAAACACAGCTTTTTAAATTGTCTGTTTCTTCAGATGAGGACGACTGTACATTTCCCAAAATCCCAACAAACATCCGGTTTCAGGGAGTTACACCCAGAAATCAGTCGCCATCAGCTGAGTTAAACCTCCAGCTGGACTTTAATTCTGGACTTATAAAATGTATGTTTGGGTCACTTTAGGAAAAGTCATCAAACTTCAGGCTGAAGGATGAGGTTTAAGGTGTTTTTACTGCTGTCAAATGTCAAAACAGTATGTAAGGGTTCAAGGTGTTGAGATTATTTGGTGTTAAAGGAACTGAGAGGAAGTTCAAAACACACCTTAATAAGTCACCATGTCTTCTTCAGCTCTGTTCATTTATGTCGGGTTTTGTTTTGTAGTTTCTTTGCTTTTGGCATTTTCATCATCAACATGGAGTAATTTGAATTAAAATAAAAAAACAAATTCTGTCTTTCTTTCTTTCCTGAACAGTCTGAAGTACAAACCTGCATCATTTGCCTCTTTGGTCACTTGATGGCAGCACAGTCGGTGTTTGAAGCCACCTGCTGGATGCTGGTTTCTTCTTGTCTCTTTCCAGGTCACTAGCAGCTCCTGAGGGAAACTTCAAACTCTTAAACTGTTGAATGCTTTACTTTATTTTGTCTTAATGTTGTCTGTCTGCTGATTTGTGCTGAAAATTTATATTTACCGTCAGTAAAACACAGACGGGTCTGAAAATGAAGCCAAACAGAGAAGATGTAAAACGTAGAGACTGAACAATGACATGAAATATGCTGAACCTCTGAAATCAGGGAAGAACTCTCTGATGGTTTGTCATGATGTCATAATTAGATCCATGTTCATTCAAACTCCACTGACTGCAGCATCTTTTCATCAACGTGTGATTTCTGGCTTCAACAACTTCTGGTGATCTTATAATTAAAGACGATCTTCGAGCTGCCCTGACAGCAGCAGATCAGCTTCCTTTATGGTTGTCTTTTATCTCTCTCCACCCTGGAGGTAGCTGCACTGGGACCAGTTATTAAAACACAGCCCAGTGAGCCGCACTCAGCACAGATGCCTTCGACTGCCATCATTTGAATGGAGGCAGCTTCACCGAGCTTCGTTTCTGCTGCATCAGATCTGGTGGAGATAAACCGACAGCACATTTACTTCTTCTGTTGCTGCAAAATATGTCTTTTCTAAATGAACAGTTCTCCAGGAGAGCAGCCGTCTGACTGCTCTCTCTTAGGATTAATACCAGAACTGGTGCAATGCTCTTGTTGGTGCACAAACACAGAACAGAACAGCCACTTTATTGTCAAACGGAATATACATAGTTGGTGCACAACTCACCATCGGATTGTTAATAACGAAACAAAACTTAGAAATAAAAACAATGACAATATGTACATGTACAAAATAAACTGTATACCTATAAATAGACTAGAATAGAACAGACTTTATTTATCCCAGACCTGGGAAATGTACACGTCACCGCAGCATCCAAAAGTATAGACAGAAAGTACAAGAAAACAACAATAATTCAGTAATACGCATCCTGGTGTTGGCACACAGCAGGTCCAAGTCAGTCCACATGCTGGCTGAATGTGGGGAGAGCGGCAGAGAGCGACGTCTGGTTAGAGTCTCCTGAGATGACCATCAGAGACTGAGGCTGTGATGTTTGCAGCTGGGACACTGAACTCTGGATGAGTTCTGGGGGGGATGTGAACTGCAACCGGCAGGTAAAACGGCCGCAAACCAACCGCCAGCAGGTCAACATCCTTCATGTAGCGCCGCTCTGTAACGCGCTAGCATTACACCCTCTCTCATTCACATACATACACAGGCCGTCACTTCCCAAAGTAACTTCCTGACCAGTGCTTTGTCTGGATCAGGGGTGNCCTGAGTGACTCTGATGCCACACAGCACCACCGCCCACCGCCAGCACACGCTCAGCTGCTCTCAAGAGTCCAGCCAACTGCTGAAAACACATTCATTCTTCATGAGGCAGCGGCTGTGGCCCAGGTGGTAGAGGCAGTTGTTCTCCGTTTGCAAGGTTGGCAGTTCAATCCACCGCCTACACTCGCCACTAATACTCAACCTGCTGTCTAACTTTATTGCCTCACCTCGTGGAAATCCCCTCCACCCACTCACACAGATCAAATATCCCCTTCATTAGGATGAAAAGAAAAAAACCGAAGAGGCCAACTGTCACTTTTACTTTTTGCTGCCTGTGCTGATCAACCGTCTCTCTGTGTTGTTGACCTCCAGCTCTCATTGTTTTATGTAGTAAATCCACCTGCACACTTCAGTGTTTCCTGCAGCTGAAACAGCATCAAAACAGCCTGAAGATAAAGGAAACACTCACAATGAGAGACAAGCTTGGTGCAGTCACATGACCGCTGCCTTTATTATTAGGCTCTGCTTCTTTTCATGCTTGATATGTGATCTGTGTCTTCTGCCCTCAGCGAGTAACTGAAGCAGCCAACGAGAACACAGGACAGAGTACAAAGGTCTGAAAGAACCAGTTTGAGAACTTATGGGGAAATATTAGGAGGTCACTAGGTTTTGTGTATGAGGTTGGATCAAGAAGCACTGAGACTACAGCAGTTTTCTAGTTTGGTCACCATCTCCTGTAAAGTAGTGTCATTGTGCAGCAATGCTCTGCTCCCAGCGCTCCTGCAATGCTTGTCACACTCACCCAAAGCTCTTGGGGGGGACCGGGAGTCGAGACGACTGAGGCTGTGGTTCTGCTGCCAAAGCTGAGCTGGGCTGGCGACGATCCGTCGGGGAGGTTCTGGCAAAATCGCAGACAAAACACACGTTAGACAAAGAAGTACCTCAACGCACAAAGTCCTCAAAGCAGCGCTGGCCTGTTCCCGCTCTGAGGAGGATAATCCAGTGGCGCTGGAGCGCAGGTGGAGGCAGGCTTCATCCAGCGCTGACTGTAGAGATGTGTCGGGTGTGGAGGAGAGTGAGGGAGAGTTCTCCAGCCTGAAACATAGTCACAGCAACCAGCAACCAGAAGCACACACACCAAAACACAGTTCTACACAAAAGCACCAAGACTCGGATCACCACAATATTCTCTATAAAAACCATTCTGTCATCTCGTTAACATCAGGAAAACATTTTCTGAATGTTGCTGGAGAACGTTGACGTTAATGGAACACAATCTGTTTTCCCGACAACGTCCTCTGAATGTGGATGATAAAACATGACATTAACTTTAAAGGAACATTACTTAAATTGTTCTTTTAGAACCTGTAGGTAACGTTCTCCAGTGTTGTGGGAACGTTCCCTGCCGGCTGGGATCCTTCCTCTGAAGGTTCTTGTGGAACTGTTCTCTCCTTGCTGCTGCATCTTCTCCGTCTCTACTGTTGCTCTGATCTTCAGCTCTGACAAACCAAACACTGCTGCAGCGATGAAGCTCTGGTATCTGGTCACAAACAGCTGATGGACTGAACCAGACACTGATTTATCTGCACTCTGGCTTTAACACACTCTTTAATGGGGGAATAACGTATAAAATAGTAAATTAAACATCTGTGAGAAATTCTTGTAAGATTCAAACCCTGAGGCAGAGACTATCAGAAGATAGGAGGAGGCTGGATGTGCTGTGGGTAAGGGCTGAGCTGGCAAACACATCATAGATCTAATTGCAGTCTACAGGAGGAACTCCCGCTGATATCTCTGAGCCAAGCTCATATGTTAACGCTGGTATCAGTAGTGTGCAGTTAAACTGTCAAGCAGAACAACAGCTTAAACAAATATTGAGTTTTCATAAACGTGGCGTGTTTGCAGCCTGGAGGACAAATGAGGCGTCCAAGGAAACCAGGTGGAGAGAGCTGAGGTTAGACATGGCAGGTCTCCATGCAGCTCACATCAGCTCAGCCTCTCTCTGAGTGAAGCTGCAGGACTTGGACTCCAACAGCTGCAGAGGTTCCTGCAGANGTGCTAGCATTACACCCTCTCTCATTCACATACATACACAGGCCGTCACTTCCCAAAGTAACTTCCTGACCAGTGCTTTGTCTGGATCAGGGGTGTCCAATCCTGGTCCTGGAGGGCCACAGTCCTGCATGATTTAGATGTTTCCCTCTTCCAACACACCTGATTGTCCGACTGCAGCTGAAATACCGGTAGCCAGAGAGGTTGCAGCTGAAGCGGACCAATCCTGCGGCGCCAATCAGCAGGTTGGAGATGAGAAATGTTCCGGGCCCCGGCTGGCACGGTGACCACGTCAACAAAGAGACTTTCTGAACAGACAGACTGCAAAATACATGTAGAGTGTGAGAGTAGGAACGACAGCAGCACTCTCAAATTCCTCCAGAGTGTGTATGTTTATTCCATCTACAACTCATTTACATTTCAATGCTCTTAATGTCCGTTACAACTACTGACTAATTAAGTCAAAACGAAATACAATCCTGTATTCATTCATGTTTTGTTACTCAAAACCATATGTAATTTCTGCTTATTACACTTCCAGATAAATCCTTCGTAACACCAGAAAACATCACTTATTGCAGCTTTAAAGTGCTGTCGGCTTCTACATAAGTAATGCAAAAACTCAGTTACTCTTTACTCTCACTGTGCTTTTACCTAGTGTAGTGTCAAAGGTTCCGCCCCTCTACATTACTATTTACACAGGACTACTCTCGCTAAGTGTGCCAATATTAT